ATTTCCATCATAAAATTTGTTTTAAAAAGTTCTTTAAAATAAGATCCATTTATAATATACTTAACCACAAACTTTTATACGTAGCTGGTCAAACCGTGTCACCAACTATTACAAGATCAGAGTTACTTCGTTAGTGCTATAGAGGTTACTTGGTCAGTGTTATAGTGGTTACTCAATCAGTGTTAAAGATAGGGGTTACTTAGTCCGTGTTAGAGGTTACTCAGTTAATATTACAAGGGTTACTCGATCGGTTTTATAAGTGTTACTTTGTCCGGCGTCGTATACAAAAATGCATTGTTGTTTAATTTATTTGAAAAAATATTAGAGAATTAGTAAAATAAGTTTTAATCAAAAATAAATTTAGTTTGGTAAAATACTTTCAGTTCAGTGAAAATATTTTAAGTTCAATAAAAATAATTTCAAGTCAATAATAACATAGATATCTATTTACAAACAAAACTACACAAAGTACACTCCATATGATATCGTATATCTAAATATCCTACATTATCAGAACAAATTATTTGACCGTATTTAACATTCAAGTAAAAATGTTATTTTAAAATTTTATCAACCATCTGGCCATCGCCCGGGCACAAAACTAGTATATATATATAAAGGGGAATTTTTTCCAAAGATTTTAGAAAGCCACATAGGATTTTTATTTTTAAAAAATTATTAGAGCGCCATGTAGGATTAGTATTTTTAGAGCGTCACTTATAAAATTATGCCACGTAAGATTGTTATTTTAAAGCGCCACCTAAGATTAGAATTAAAAATTTAAATTTATTATAAAAATAAAATACTATTTTTTTTAAATTGGAAATTTTATCTCGGAGAAAAGGAACAATTTATTTTATTTCATATATAAAAAAAATACTATTAAACTTACAAAAATGAAATTCACGTTCAATTGATATTTTAAAAAAACTGGATTAGATAAATAAAATAATAAAAATATGACAAGTGATTATAATAAAATATTTTATAAAAATATACTAATAAAAAAAATGAAACCACGTTAAACTATATATAGGGGAGTATATATATATATATATATATATATATATATATATATATATATATATATATATATATATATATATATATATATAGAGAGAGAGAGAGAGAGAGAGAGAGAGAGAGTGTGGATCACGTGAAAACAAGATTAAAACTGAAAACTGAAAACATGCAATCTCTACCGTAGATTATGATCTATTACTCACCCCTCATCTAACGGTTCAGATTTTTCCCCCAAATTAAAGCAAAATGATAGCAATTTCTCTCTCCTCCTTCATTTGCACGTAACTTTTTCCTCCTCTATTTTCTCTCTCCTACTTTCTCTCTGCTACTTTCTCTCTCCTACTTTCCCAATTCTTCTACCAATTTCATGCTACTAATTCAAATCTAGCTTCAATTACTTTGATTTTCAGCAATTTCTTAGCTCTACAATCTATTATCAAGTAAGTTATTTGTGTTAATTTCGTTATTTTGCTTGATTTGAGTACTTAATTTCGTAATTTTTGTTTCACTTTTTCAACCAAATTTAACTCGTTTTTGCTAGATTTTGATTCATTTCATTGATTTTGAGTTTTGTTTTTTTTGGATTGAAATTGCAGTAAATCGTTGATTAAGCAGACGAGAACTCGAATCAAAGTTGTCCGACGAATGAAATGCGACGGAGAAGTTTTTGAGGAAAGACATTGCTGATCTGCTTGCTAATGACCTCGAGAAGAACGCTTATGGAAGAGTGAGTGTGTTTTTCCGTTATTTTTTTAGCTTAACGATTTGAATTTTGATAATTGATGAATTTTTTTAATGTTTATTTGAATTTTTCCATTGTACATATGATGAAAAATGTTGGTGCATCCGAATATTGTATTGTCTTTGTTTATATTTTAATTTTGTCGATTAATTTTGACCGAAAAGCATGTTTGCTTGAATTTTGCGAGAGTTGAATTATTCATTTCTATTGAATTTGTAATTTGACTGTCAACATTTGAGGTGTTACTTAGGTCTAAAATTAATCTTCTAATGAGTAAATTAGGTTTGAGTAAATTAGAAAATCATAGGAGTACATGTTTTTATTTTCTTAGTCATAGGAGTATATGTTTAGAACTAATGGCAGAAGCTCCATTAGAAGCCTTGCCAATTTGCTAGAAGCGAGTTGAATATCCCTTAAGCTTCTTCATCCATTACAGGAGTATTGAACATGTTTTAAAGATTATGAACACCAGGGTTGCAAACTGGAAATTTCTCCTCGTTGTTTTGATACCTGTCTGATTTATTGAACTGTTCAACATGATATAGCGTTTAAGTTTGGTATGAAATTTCTGCAATTCTGTTATCTTAGGATTATTTGCTTAGGAATTAGGACTTGTTTAATATGTTTCTTCCGGATGTCAATTGATGGCCTTGTATTGGCACTTGGGGAATGGTTTATGATAGTGTATTGATGTTGTACTAGTACTTCTGCTCTGGCTCTTAGAATTCTTTTTTTTTTATCTATTGTTCAGTCATTTGCTGTACTGATTCCATCTTTTTCAATAATAGTGTGCCCGTTCAAGTGATATATGGCTTACGTTGTTGCTATATCTGTATTAACTAAGCCTTGAATAATGTCCTGCAGCTTATAGAATGTGTTTGATGCTTTGATATGTATGAATCACGTGTTGCATTTCTGCATTTTTCTGGTTTACACTTAATTGACATTTGATGCCTGAATTATATTACAATGTATAAATTTTCTGTGAGCTGTTAACTTTGTTCCATTCCAGCTATTAAAATTCTGTTGCTTTTTGTGTGTTATTGCCTTCTAAATTTTGGATTTTCTTACATTGGTAATGGTGATAGTTACATTGTGTTTTTGGCTTGTTGCTAATCAATCACCCTTTCATTATTTCAGTGCAAGTTCTGTGGCAGGGAGGGTACTATTACAATGTTACCAAAATCTGGCTGCTATCTAACAGGTGATGACTGACTGTGAAGCAGGAAAGTTTGTCCGTTTGATGAGCTTTGACTGTCGGGTTTGGAGCCAGTGGACTACTCCTTTGGTGGTGACAAGGAGGAGCAGCAGAAATTATCTTATGATAAGGAGCAGCAGGAGAAGTTATCTGATGACAAGGAGGCCGGAGAAGGAGAAGTTATCTGATGATAGTTACCTTACTTTTGTAAATAGTGACATCTATATAAATATGGTCAATGTTGTCAAAATTTATATAATTACCTTATTTTTATATATAGTGACCTTCGTTATTTTTATATATAGTGGCCTCTGTATAAATGTGGTCAAAATTGATATAGTTACTTTATTTTTGTATATAGTGACCTTTATGTAAATATGCTCAAAATTGATATAGTTACCCTATTTTTGTATATAGTGACCTCTAAGTAAATATTCTAAAAATTGATATAGTTATCTTATTTTTGTATATAGTGACCTTTATGTAAATATGATCAAAATTTATATAGCTATCCTATTTTTGTATATAGTTACGTTATTTTTATATATAGTGACTTTATGTAAATATCGTCAATTTAGATAAAGTTACCTTATTTTAGCATGTAGTGACCTTTAAAACGTTGCGTTTGTCAAAAAAAAAAAAAAAAAAAAAAAAAAAACCTTTAAAACAGTTGAATTGATTATATGTAAGGTTGGAATGATCTTAGGGCTTTAGAACCGTCTGATCTTTTGTGCTAGTAATGAATGGCTAAGATTGCTTGTTTTTAGTTTTCACCATAAGCTCTGTTTTTAGCGGAACCTCCCCGTATATATATATATATATATATATATATATATATATATATATATATATATATATATATAAAGGGGAGTTTTTTCCCAAGGTTTTAGAGAACCGCCTAGAATTTTGTTTTTAAAAAAATTATTAAAGCGTAGGATTAGTATATTTAGAATGTTACGTACAGGATTATGCCACTTAGGATTGTTATTTTAAAGCACCACGTAAGATTAAAATTAAAATTTTATATTTATTATAAAAATAAAATACTATCTTTTTAAATTGGAAATTTTTTCTAAGAGAAAAGAACAACTTATTTTATTTTGTTTATATAAAAATAAAAATACTATTAAACTTTTAAAAAAAAATGAAATTCACGTTCAATTGATATTTTAAAAAAAAAATTGGATTAGAATGAAAATATGACAAGTGATTATAATAAAATATTTTATATAAATATACTAATAAAAAAATGAAATCACGTTTAATTAATTAATTAAAAAAAAATCAGTTTCTTTCCAAAAAAAAATAAAAAATCAGTTTTCTCTCAAAAAAAAATATAGTTTTTAATTAAATAAAAAAAACAAGAAAAATCCATTGAAATTAAAAATATATCCTCTCTCTTTTTTGTAGCAAAAAAAAAAAAAAATTCAACATTTATCATTTATTCATCTTAAAGATTAAAATCTACGTTAACAAAATAAAATTGAATGAAATTTTAAGGTTTAAATTAATAAATATAAAATATTATCCATTGATATTAGGATTTTCATCTAAATATATATGAGAGAAAATTCACAATTTATTTTAAAATAAATGAAATAAAAATATTAAATGACTATGATATACTACGTACAACGAATAAATAAAGTAACAAATTTTATCTCAAACATAAGAAAAAAATATAAGTTGTAAAAAAATACAAACAAACTGTACATCACACGAAATTCATCTAGTGCATTTCTTAGCGAGACATCAATCTTGAGCCTAAATCATGTGTAGTTTTACTGACTATAATATTTGAAACCAACTTACACTTCCCTTTCCCTCCATATTTTGCAGGTGCTCTCACCCAAGCAGGAAGGCACCAACCATAAGCGCAAAGTTAACAGATTCTCAGGACATTGCAACTCCTAAGAAATTAAATTTTCTCGGAACTGTAGAATACAATGCGAAACACGAGAGTTTTGAGGAATGTAAAACATTCCTAGAACTGCAACTGTTAACCAAACAATCACTAAAATTGTAGACAATAGCCGGTAATAGCCCTTATCAGACCAAATAAAGGTGTTATTATTTTCCCCTTTTAGAGGGGAAAATCAAGGAAATTGCTTAATCAATGTCATGAATGAATATATAACATCCGATGATTCATAAAACGTCTGAGTAAAGTAATATACAGAAGATCAATAAGAGCTAAAAGAAACAGAAGGGAAGTGTTCAGATATATTTTCCATGAAACCAACCCTTCTTAGAACCACTTTCCAATTTTTCTTTTTCTTTTTTAGATTAAATAAATTTACAGGCGGACATTGTTAAACCTGAGTGTGTCGCTTCAAGGGTCAGCTTTGCCAGCCACCTCATCATCACCATCACTGGAAGCATAACCATCCTCACTCAGCTCCTCCTCACTGGATTTATCATCCTCCTGTGCTGCACCGATATCCTCGGGCTTGGCATATTTCTCACAATATTCTGGAAAATAAACCAGCAATAATTTTGTTCATGAAAGAGTAAAGCAGCATCAATAAGAATATAAGATGTATCCAACTTTACTATGTTTTTTACATAAATATGTACTTCGTACTTTGCAATATGAACAATGACCAATACATCTGAATAAGAACAAAGTCCAACTATTAAGCTATGCAGCAGGACAATTGCAAATTATTTAATCCAATCAAACAGATTCAAGGACCATCTCAAATGCTCCCACCATCTTTTGGCAAGTAAATCCCTGGAGTGTGGGGACTGCCTCTTGCAGCCCAAACCCACAGGGGTGAAGCATTAAACTCATAAACACACAACCCACCCCCACCCACCCTCCCCCAAACCAATGAGAGACCGCCATGAAAACTAAACCTGGGACGAGGCTGCAGGAGACGGAGAGCCTCCCACTTATGCACCCAACTCCATTCTCATGAGAGACTAACAACTTCAGAAATGTGATGGACTGGTTTTCTGAGAATCAGAGACGGGAGCAGGTACAGCAAAATTGTACCAATAAGCTTTGTGAAAAACGTTGTACAAGCGTTCATTCAACAAGCTTGGGTGCCTGACAAAAATAAAAAGTGATAGAAAACAGTAATATAAAATCAGCCATTTCACAGAAAAGGCAGAGATGTGCCAATGTGAAACCCATCCACAAACACACCATGTCAAGTCTGATAATTGTTACAATTCAGTGATCCACAAGCCATGCTCAAGCTGAGTCAAGAACAATAGAGGGTGATACAGGAGATAGTACCGATGACGAAAATGTAAAAGGGAAGAAGAGCACAAGCTCGAGAGAGAAAATGTCAGAGAGGGAGAGACAGAGTGAAAATGAAAGAATCTTTCGTCTTTCTCCCGGGATAGACTTGTCTCTCTGTAGGGTTACATCAAAAGCTTCGAACACAATCATGTAAAGAAGCAAAACAAATGGATATTCTCCACATCTGCAACCCACTCCACTCCAGTACTCCACTTCCTTCAAACCGCAAAGAACCCTCTAAACCCCTCCCCCACCCCCCTCCCCCTTGCACACACACACAAGAAAACCCCCAGGCCACAAGCTCACTTACCCCACCTTTAAACACAGATCATGGAAACATATAAATACGAAACAGACATCAGAAACAGGCAGTACCCAACTGGTAACAAAAGAATAGTCTGACTGGGACATTAAAAAGGAAAAAACAGGGAGTTCTGGAGCGTAGATGTAAATTGGGAACCTAATTTTCAGTAAATCTTTTCTACTGCCTCCCCCCGCTCCCCACAAAACCAATGTTGTCGAGTCCATTTCAACATTGACAGTTGTATTACAACTTGCAGACAACAGACTCTTCAAAAACTTCTCATTTTCCAACATTATCACTGGTCTCATCCAAAGTCAATGTGACTCCAAAAGCGTACTATTAATGTCTAAACTGTATTTACCGAGAGGGAACCAACAAAACGAAGGCCCTTTTTATCCTCCTTGAACTGCTCCTCTAACTGTCCAATAAGGTGGCCAAGTATTAGTATCCAACTCTCTTTAGATGTAATTCATGCTTTCTAGGTCTTTTACTTAAGTTTTCTAGGCCTTAGGAGAAATTATTATGTTAATGCCAATCCAGCGTTCAAGGAGAATATTGTAAAACCAAAAAGTTCTTTAGAGGGCAAGTGATTAATAAAATCCAAGCTCTCTACCCATTCTTGCCTCTTGCTTAATCTTGTAAGTTGTTGTAGGCCGTTATAGATATTGTGTCACCACATGTTTTAAGCACCCCAAAATAGATGATAAAAATAATCCTTTAATGGAAAATTCTCATCATCAGATCCGCTTGTGCTCATCACCTTACCTACTCAGCCGTCACAAGCCCCGATTGATCCTGGACTCCGCTCTATTCGACAATAGCCCAATAAGCAAGATTCGCAAGAAACAAACACGTCTCCCGCTTGTGCTGCTACATGCTCATAAGATCCTTCCACTCTCAACTAGCATTAATGTCACCAATAGAGAAGAGTGCGCCACACGGATCAGATGTCAAATAATTAAAACACTCAAATCCTGACACCATGCCACTTAAGATTGTAGGTGATCCCACAGTTACCATCATCTTCCAATTCTAGTTCAAAGAAATCCTTCTCCAAATGAAACTTATCAGTTGTTACTTAAAGATATTGACGTATATATTCTCTAACTTCATCCATATCACCTTCAAGTTCTTCTCATCAAACATATGCTAAAATACCTCTAAGCCTCAAGGGAAAGCATTAACTACGGTCCTTTAAATATGGACTTTAATATCTTCCCAACAACTTCATTTATCTCCCATCTTCTTAACAGGAACTTTAGTCAGCCCTACATGTGAAAGAGAGAATTTGAGCACCCTCAAAAATTACATCAAAGTGTTAGAATTGTTGAACTATCAACTTGGATCTAGTCACTATATGAAGACAATAGTAATATTCAATATCTCACAATGACAAAAAATCTTCATACCACCAAATGTTAGGAACGACATCAAATTCTATATGTAGGTATCTTCATACCACCAAAGGTTAGGAACTACATCAAATTCTATATGTAGGCTAAAGAATGAATTCCCACCTATTGACTATGATAAATTTTTACATAAATTACCATATAGAATAATCAAAGGTTAGGAACTACATCAAATTCTATATGTAGGCTAAAGAATGAATTCCTACCTACTGACTATGATAAATTTTTACAAAAATTACCATATAGAATAATCAAAGGAAATCTCCCGTTCAAACTCCTATTCAAATTTATTAAGCGTGAGTTCTTATTGGCTTGTGAAATTCTTTTTCTCTACTAAAGAAAAAAGCACGCACCCATAATGGCTTATTTTTATTTTTATTGAAAAAGAACAACTACCAATTCCTTTAGAAGAACACTAAAAAAATCGAAATCTAAGCCCTTATGCGTGGGCTTTCTTCTCAATTAAGGGCAAGTTATTCGGAACAACTTTAACTACTTTCTTTCCCACGGGGCATCAAACCTTAATACAACCTTTTACATCCCACTATGACGCCTTCCCCAACAATTTTAGACAAAAGAGTGTTCATTTCATAATAGGTCATTGTGCGTCACTACCTCCCACTTTCTTGCTTTTGTCGCTTCTTTAACTCCTTGTCTGCTTGAATTTCCCTAAAATTTTCTTTAGATGATTGAAAGAATAACCCTAAATAATAATCCATATCCAATAATTAGCCCAAGGACTCCAACTACTAACCTAGTTCAACTTGAATTAAGACCACACAAATCTCCCCAAAACACATCTACAACCAAGTATTAAACCCAACAGGTGAAAAATCTTCAAATAAATCCCCATCCTCATTATGTCTTGGAGGTCCTCCTCGCTTTTGGCATCAATGCTTTGAATATATATGTAAATAGTACACTTTCCCCCCACACACTGATACAATTAAAGCATCTATTACTCCTAGATCTAAGCGACTAGTATTAAAGGGCATATTTGGAAATAGACAAAATAAAATAGCCATAAGCCCATAAACAAGTGGAATTTTTTAAAACATCTCAATGAGTAAGAAAGATATATATTTTGGGATTAAAGAAATCATAGTCGGACTTCAAGTAATGGAAATTTACACAACCCAAAATAACTACACAATATTATTTTTTGCAAGCTTTACAAATTGCTTAAAACCAGGACGTGTCATGTCACCCATCACTAAGCTCTAACAACTATCCATGGAGGATTACACACTCCGTAACACATTTTAGAACATGGATGCGTTAGCCTTTGGGGTCTATCATAGCGCTCTTTATGTTTATATAATTCCAAGAAAATTTGTATCCATCCTCTTCATACTATGTTAATATAATTAACCATCCCTATCTCCTTAAATCTATCCTTAGAGCCTCTAATCCATTTAATATTTAGTCCACATAAAAGCTTAAAAAAAAAAGAGGGGGGGGGGGGGGAATAATCACATTGGCTTTAGGGGTACTCTCAATCAAATTTTGAGATATCTTCCCATGATTATTCATAGACATTTCTTAGCTTTAAGCAAATACCATTAACCACAGTAAGTCTGATATCTTATAAGTGAAACTATTCAATGATCCCCCAACGTGTTCCTTTTTATGCAAAACAGTGGATATCGATGATCTATTTTGTCATAATTCTAAGTACAGATGGACCTTACCCATTAACTTCTCATAGCTTCAATGCTTCATGCAGCAGTTGCCTCATCACAATCTTTCCTAGCTAAGTTGTTAGCTAACCACTAAGGTAATGTTTGCTACATGGTTAGTTAAGACCAGTGGCAACATACAACAAGTATGTGGTCGATAGTATGTCCTAAATCTTCCACAAGGGTTAGTAAGTAAAAGTTCCTTAGCATCAAGTCCAACGAGCTCTCGCAGAAGTAATACAAATCTTTACTTTCAGGAAATAGCATACTTCCACAAAATTTATCTTCCAAATGAAAAGAGGAATGAGGAGAGAGGTGCAAGTGTATCAACAAAAGACTTGCCATAAATATGTAACTATTTAAGATTTGGCTAGATTTTCGTCCCAGGGAACACGGATGGTGACCATGAAGTTATGACACAAAAGCATCAAGATAGCTTCAATAAAACTAATGCCACAACAATGCTATGGACAAGATAAAGGTGAACTGAAGGTTTTGATGCATCTTTTGTCCAGGGCCACCAGGCCGCATGGATGATGGCCGTGAAGGAGATGGCACGAAATCATTATGGTAGCTTCAACGTCATGGACAAGAAAATTGGGAACAGAAAATTTTTCTACAAATTTGTCAAGCTGCATGGAAGGTGGCCTTAAAAGAGATGACAGAAACACTTCAAGGTAGCTTCATTGATTCCACTAAAAAGACAAGGCAGTGGTGATTAAAAGTGTTCATAATGAGCCAAGCAATCTTAACATTTGCTGATGATGACAGGGTAGAAAAAACTGAACTGGTCAAAAGGACAGGAGATGTATATGCATACCTCAGCTACACGAGAAAAAATAGTTCTTGGTCAATTTTTCAACCAAAAAGGGTTAGATTCTTGCAGTACACAAGAAATGAGCAAGTTCGCTCAGCATAAGCTGTGACATTTCCAAAAATAAGCCCTAATCATCTACAGGGTAACTATAAGTAAACCCTAAATTAACCCAAAAAGGAAAGCACTCTCACAAGTTGTTTCCATCTCAAAAGGACGATGCTATTGTCGAAATTATGTGTGTAAAGCCATTATAATTCTTAATCAGTATATTAAAGATTACGAAATGTTAATGACACTTCAGCTAGCCAAATCTCAAAACTGCAGGAATCTATCTATAATGAAGCTAAGCTCCCGGAAAGAATTAAGAAAGACCATTGTAAGGGCACAGGCTTTACGTCTTTTGCATCTCTGACCTAGCTTCTGCTGACTCATACCTCACAATAAAGTAATTAGGATCATCACAGAGCTATAGAGCATCAGCTTTGCTGCCTGATAACAAAGGTATTCACCTGCAGTGTAATGCTCCAAATCTCAAAAGCCAGAACCACTGTAGTAACTTGTGTGCAACACAAATTAATCTCAAATTCACTATCGAACGCTCAAACAACCAAACCACATATTGCTTCTTGCCTGCGGTTAAATGTCATTATGGCCCAAAAGGAAACCTATGGTAAATGTTCCATGTAACATTCACAATCTATACAAAAGACGATGAAAGCGTCCACTTAAAGAAATCTCACCAGATAATTTCTAACAAGATGCCTGCCTAGCTGAGCTAGCCATTGTGCTCACACTCCATATTTTAATATGTAGATAACATCTTGTCAAGATGAAAGTTCCAGGATCCAATTTCAGTACTCTCCCATGCTTCAGATAAAAGTACTAAGGTATACTAAAAGACAATCAACAAAAATCAACCTTCGATATCCAGTAAAGACCACAACCAGTACCAGAGTTTGTCATTCACGACAGCCACATCCTATCTTTAGCTTTAGCATCTTGCAAGCCATAAAAAAAAACAATGAAGAACCAGGTAACTATTCCTTGTTCACAATCCCTTTCCTTCACTGCTCAACACAAAAAAAAGCAGCACAAATGCTATCTTCAAAATCAAGACTTTTACTCCAACATTAGTTAGATGGACAACCAATGTGTATACCAGCAATTTTTAAAATCTGCAATCAAAAGCAAAGCAGATAGTTGGGAAGTAATTACATATAACACCCCCATGTTCACTACGTTTCTGATCTAAATGGCCAGATTTAATAACAGATTATTTTAAGCACTGAGTGCCAAATCGCAGGCCATGATCAATCTAGAATGTTGACCAATTCAAAAGTGAATTTACGCCCCCCCCCCCCCCCCCCAAAAAAAAAAAAAAAAAAAAAAAAAAAAAAAAAAAAAAAAAAAAACTGAGGCAAGAGTCATGGTAAAGGAAGGGTTTTAAGAACGAGGAAGTGAAGCCACAAACAGAAGTGAAACAGTACAACAAAGATGAGATAGAAAGACCTCCCCAAGTAGTTTTACCCCTACATCAACATGAGAATATGAGGACTATTATTTTAGATAGGAGAAAATATGGATACAATATTAATCAGCAAAATAAGAACTGCATATATCAGCGACAACGTCCAAAAACATTGTCATCCTGAGGTTATCTTTAGAAATTACAGAATTATAATTAGCAAAAAATTAAAAGTATCAAACAACTTTGTATTCAGGCTTTTTTCCCAATTATCGCCCTCAAAGCATTATCATTAAAGGTAACATGCATATTAAATTTAAGAGGAACGACACAAAGACCCATTTCTGTTGCATCTTTATCCAGGTGATGGATGGATGGATGGGATTCAAGGATTGCAAATTTCTCCTAGTGACTACTTGATAACCCAATCCAATATCTTTGGTTATGAACATGGTAGTCAAGAGCTGGGAAACAGAAAGAATTTGATGACTTAGAAGGAGACATGGTGATGAAATGTGGTCCAACACAAAGAAAAAACAAAAGGAAGAAAATAAATTTCTAGTTAGTAGAAAAAGGAGGAAGAATTGAACAAACAAAGGAAGTTAAAGGATTCAGTTCAAAGTTTAAACCATGGCATATGAGAACTTGTATGTTGCAGCAAAGATTGAACAAAAAAAAGGAGGAATATATTCAAATAGGCCAGAGTTATGTAGCAGAAAACCAAAAACCTTGGATTAAGTGAAGTGAATCAAGGGCAAATCCTCCAAGATAAATAAGGTACCGCAAAAATGCTGTAACATTACCTCTAGACACATTCCAATGAGATGGAGGATAGACTAGAGTGTTTTGGGTGAATTTACTAAGGTCAACCAAAATTGTAAAGTTTTAGCTCATATCATGTAGTAAAATGAAAAATAGAGAGGCTAGCATGATAGAGAAGCTAGGAAATGTTTAGGGAGAAACACCTTGGCTAGCAAATTTGTACACTCAAACATCTAATGAAAATACATAGGGAGCCTATACATGGTGATTTTGACCTCCAAAACACATATGACCAAGTGCCAAGAGGCGGAGATGCTAAAAGACAAAGGAGGTAACTTTAACATATATTCCATCTATCAGATATGAGTATTAAGGTAATAAGTTTAGTCTAAAAGTCATGTGATGAGAACATAAGGTTACATCGTAGATCATCTTTAAATGTTTTCCTAATTATAATAGTTATGAATGAGCTTGTTTGAAAAAAATAAAGAATTATGAGTCATAGTTTATAATATTTCACAGATGACGTATATTTTGGTGATAAAGTGAAGTCAAATGGCAAGTTAGATCTTTAAGGGATACTTTGGAGTTAAAGAGTGTCAAATTGAGTTGGACTAGGGCTAGGCATATGGGACTTAGACTTTAACTAAAAATAGAGGGAAGGCCCAATCCTGAGAAGTTAAGATTGGAAAGGATATTGTACCAGAGAAGGGTTATTGCAAACATCTTAAAACTGTCCTTTTAAGTAACAATCTTTCTACCAGTTTAGTCTAAGTAGGAGAAACATACATAAATTTGGACCTCCCCTGCCATGGGCAGTAGTCGTCGGCAGAACCTCATTATGTGTAAACTGTAAAGTAATCTACACAATCGGGGGGGGGGGGGGGGATTGAAAAGGAAGGTTTGCAAATAGGTTCAGGAAAAAAAAAATGTGCAGCTCAATTGCCTCATAATGTCACACAAGAAAGGCAATGAAATGAAGCTTTAAAAAGGCCTTAAGCATTACCTTTCACCCTCTGCTCGTAAGCAGCTTTATCACGCATCATCAAGGCTGCAGCTTCCCCATTCAAGGGATCTGATGGGTTAGGATACAACAGAAGCTGAGGCAAAAACACTTCAAAAACATTTACTAAATCTGCAACAAATTCAATATACATTATGTCAGCTTCAAAGATAACAATTGCCCAACAATAAAAGCAAATTACTCAACCCAAACAAGCAGTGAAACAAAAGGCTGAACTTATATTCATACCAAACATAGGACTCCATGTCTGATTGATAACATCCAAACAAACCGACCCCGACCTGAAAATTTGATGCAAGAGAAGGTCAGTGCCAATAAGGCATTCTCAATCAAAGAGACTGAAACTTTCAAAAAAGACATAACAAAACTTCCACAGCAGCCACTCTAATACAGGTACTTAAGGTAAAATGAAAAGACGGAGTAACATAACTCTCAACAGACATAGGCATCAGTAGACTTACATTTCATCAACATTGGGGTGATATATCTTGTTGATAAAACCAATGGATGGAGACTTGTATGGATAGGCATCAGGAAGCTCCACCCTTATCTTCCAAGCACCTCCCTGATAAGGACCTACCAGATATGAACAATGTTTTACAAGCTAATAATTTCATTTCTAGCAGATTTTGAGACACATAAAAATCCATCAAAGTGTAAACATAAAAACACAAATAAAGCTAAATGTTGCACATTGAAAAGTATATATAGATCAAGAATTCATGACATAGTGCAGCAGATTTTCGCAGTAGAAAAAACAACTGATCATAATTATAATTAAAAAGAGTTGGGATTAATTTAGATTAAGATCTTCCTACACTGAATCAAACAAAGCTCACTCGAACATTGAAGATTAAAAGTACAAATTAGAGGAACTGAAGTTACTGGCAACTTTTTTTAGCTAAATCTATCAAAACTCATAACCCAGATATCAACACAAAAAAACAACCACAACCCAGAAAAGTAATTACACAAATTTAATAAATTCAATACAAAAATGATAAAATTAAACATAAACATACAATCATTTTCTACAATAAAAACCAGGGCAGTTTAGATGATATACTGTCAGTGGGTCCATGAAATTCGACATAAAATTCTTGCATGCCATCATTGATCATCTCCACCTTATAGTCACTCATCATCCTAGTTCATAAAAATTGAACAATATTAAACACAAACCCAAATTTTAATCCAAATTCATGATTAAAAAATTATAGAAAATCAATCAAAAATAAATTAATTCTGGGTATTTACAGTTTCATCAAGTCCATCTCACGGCGCTTGCTAGGAGAAGACATTTTTTTTATATATTTTTATTTTTCTTTGTTTTTTTTTCCTAGGAAGAAGGGTTTTTGATGTGAGGCAAGAACAAAATTATGAAAAGAAAGAGAGAGGAGAGAGAGAAAAAATGGGTAGGGATGTGTGAGCTTCGGTCACAAAAGCAAGTTAGTTCGGACATTCAAGTGAGTAATGGTGATATTTATATATATGGGCCAATTTTATTCTTTTTCCCTCTTTTTTTTCACAAGTCTTTATGAAAAAGATAAAATTAGTTTAATCACAAAGTTTCATATATAGCTAATCACACTGTGTAGCCGTGGTTACTTGGTCAAAGGTTATTCGATCGATCAGGAGTTATTTGGTCAAGGGTAACTCAGTGAAGGGCTACTCATTCTGTAATTTAATTTATATTATGCATCTTCTGTACTTGGGCAACAACAATGGAAAGTCGAGAATTTTTACATATAAGTAAGGGTATATTCTATTCACCTCAAATTAAGGAAAAAAAAAATTTAGGGCATTGGGGTTAATGAGGTTTAAACCGGTTTAGATATAAAGTAAGGGTGGGGTTAATGAGGTTTAAACCGGTTTAGATATAAAGTAAGGGGAAAAATAGGTTTAATCAAGTTTAATACTTGTAGTTAATTTCAAAAAAAAAAAACATAGAATGTGTCTGTCATATTTGATTTAATTTTGATATGCGCAACCTTTGTAGGTAAGTACCTTGTAAAGCTACTTGTAAAGCTACTACTATGCAACGCATTGTGTAGCTGTAAATCTTCATATATAATTATTTGAAATGGAATTAGCATATATAGAATTCGATGATAAAAAGATCAATTGATGTTTTAAATTTTAGCTTCTTATAATTAATCATTAGATATTAGGTTACATAATATATTTTTTCCTCCGTTAATAGATTTAATTCTTTATGAAAGCACTATTCATACTTTTTTTAGGTTTATTTAACAAATGTTCATGTTATATAATAGCGGGAAAAGAAGGGGTTAATTGCCTAATTGGCATTGAAATTATTTGGAGTTACAAAGAGATACAACCATGCAATGATAGGTTAAAAAAATTTATATACACTCGAGTCACTCAAGGGTATTCTCTGCTCATTTATTACTGTTTACTCAATTTAAAATGAGAGGGGGAAAATCACCCTTGAGTGCACCTACCTCTATGATTTTATATACAACCGGGTGTATATATAAAAGGATTCAATGATAGGTAAATGAATGTTTGGATCTATTAGTGTTAATATTGGAAGATTACTGTGAAAATGTAATCAACATTCTATTATATGGAAAATCCCATCTTTTTCATATCATATTGGATAAATTCAAGATTTATTGTGAAAATGTAATCAACATTCTATTATATTGGAATATCCCATCTTTTCATATCATATGGGATAAATTATTCTTAAAATCAATGATTTTATGATGATTGACTGACCCAATCAATGTCAACAATGTAAATCTATCTTCCAGGATTTGAAAGGAAAAGTAGTAAATTGACAATAATAATTGAATGTTAATATAGTTGTCGTTTGAAATATGACTATTGACTACCCTAGTTATAGACACCTGATTGTGTCTCCCCAAAAACCAAACCTAGTGATGAGTACCTTTCACGTCTTTGATTATCAAGTTAGGTGAAGAGTTGAAGAGTCTCGTAAATTTTCTTTAGCCTTGAACATTTCTAACCTTTCTTTGAATGTTTTAAGTCAAATTCATTTATTTCGTGCCCTTAAGCCCAAAATAATTCATTTTGTGTCCTGAAAATCATTCATTTCGTGTCCTGAAAATCATTCATTTCGTGTCATCTTTATAAAAACGTTCAAACTAATTTATTTTGGTCCATAATATGGGTCCAATAATTGTGTATTTGGATGGGAATTGAAAAGAGATTTCCAACGATATATTATAAGCCCAAATCCGAGTTATAAAGAGGAAATTATGCACAAAATATTAAACCGAGCCTTACCTACGACCCAATGACCATGTGGAGGGTTCACTAACCTTAAAAATCATTCCTAAAACCCTTAGGATTTATTATTAGCTTCTAGAATCCTCTAGAAGGTTCTAATTTATCCTAATTTTTGAAAAGATAAAATTTAAGGATTTTACTTTGGATAAAACACTTGTTTTTCAATAGGTTTAATTCTGATAAAAATAGAATACGTACGGAAATATGATTAACCCAATTTGATTGGAAGTCGAATTCCGTACGGATTCTATCTTTCAAAAATATCGCTGGACGATGCTTATATCACGCCGCAATATAGTTGGCGCTTCGCGATACGATCTGCTTTACTCCGAGTCAAATTCTGACTCTTTTTCTGATCTTTTCTCTCATTTTTTCCTATAAAAAGGGGTCGTTTTACTCCGTTTTGATTCACCAACAATCATCATCTTAATCCTTCTCTAAGGTATAAGTTTCTCTCTTTCTTCCTTAGCCTTAGCCTACACTCATCACACACCATACGTCCTTTGCGAGACTTGAATACTCCAAGCTCTTCTCGTAGTTGCCTTCGACCTCGACGTGAAAGATTGATATTTCTGAGGGTTTGGTCCATAATCCTTATTTGGTTTATTTTATTTGTTTGATTCAATCTCTCTTGAAGTTACTAACGTGTTTATTGTTTTGATAAAAAGAGGTACGAGGCATCAAAGTGAGTAGATCTACTATATTTATTCCTTGCTTTTGATATAGAAATCATGCTTAGAATATTATTTTATTTCTTAGTATCATATTAGGACGTTTATTTTGATTCCTAGTATCATGTTAGGATGCTTAATAAATATTTCTTTGTGTTATATTAATATTCCTAATATCATATTGATTTCTAGTATCATGTTTAGGCTAAAGCTTTGATTTTTATTATTTAGTGACATGCTAGGTTTGTTATTAATCTATTTAGTATCATGCTTAGGATCTTGCTATTATGATTTAATGATATTATGAGATGAGTGTTGTGTCAATTAATTATTATTACATTGCTTGATTATTTATTATTCATTGTTATTGCTTGATCACGCCCATTCTGCAAGATTAAAGGGAATTTGTACTTGAAATCACGCCTAATAAGATAATTAATAATTTGATTTTAGGCTTATATGATTTTAATTTCAAGTGATCGCCAATAATAGATTTATTTGTTTATTAAAAATCAACCAACATGGATTAAACATGTTTAGGGTTAATTTGTTGAATGTATGTTGATCGGAAAGCGCACATAAATATCATAAGAATTAAGTAGAGGCTGATTTAGGGCAGTTTCAATCTCTTATAGGTTGGATTCGTACTATCATCCCCGAATATTCAGTCATGGTTCCGGACCACTATGGAGTTAGCAATCTCCGTGATCGTGAATGGGGTGTAACCTTCACACCCGTGAACAGTTTACAAGTTCCTAAAACTTGTTGGCGACTATTTTATCTCTAGCTTCTTTTTCTTTGGACGCCACCATGCTTAAATGCATGATCATAGTGGAGCTCGAAGTTAATATTTGAAATATTCCCTACATTAGTATTTTAATGATACAATACTATATGATCAGTTCATTTTTTCACATTATAATATGGACACAATTAGTCTTTTAATAGCTACAATGCAAATATAATTTTTAAATAGTATAATAAAACATATAAAATTATAAAATAAATATTTAAATTTCACAAATGAAACTAAAAATTAGATAAATAAAAAAATGTTGATACTATTTAATATAAAAAATAATAAAGACATATACTTTATTACGTGAAGAAAAAGTCAATCATGAGCATTAATTTAGGAAGTGTCACAACTTTAGTTCGTTGTTAGTAGCATTAATGAGGGAAAATATCTAAACAGATATTTTTAGGGATATAAATGTCCGCTCTTAACAGTTTTAAAAAAACTAATTAACATTAATGAGGGTAAATAAGTAAACAAAGATTTTAAAGGGTATAATTGTCGGAAGCACTATTCATAAGAGTTATCTCATACTTTTTAAAAGGTATAGGGATAATAAAAAAGTAAAAAATAAAAATAAAATAATTTTTTTTTTTTTTTTTTTTTTTTGGTATCATATTGGTTAATCCCCTCACAAGTCACAACATAGGAAATTTGCATGGCTAAGATTGTTGTGGATAACTACTAGCGCAACACCAACTAGAACTTAAACAAATATTAAGAGCATCTACATTAGTTGGAAAATGAGGACCTTCCCATCGATGTTACTCCTTTTTCATTTGATAAATATTTTTGAGTAGGTTAATTTGGTGGAACCCTCCCAAAAAATTCAAGTGGGCCCAATTTGCACACTTGGACACCACAACACTTGGTAAGGGTATGGAAAGTAGGAGAGAGAAAAGGTGGTGAGTTATGAAAAAATAGGAGAAATAAAGTAAATGGGGGGTTAATGAATGTAGGTATGAAATTGTAAAATGAAAAGAGTATATGATAAAGTTAGTGGAAAATGATGTGGACTAATGAGGTGAGGAGAGAAATATTATGGAAAGTCCCATAAATGTTGATGCTCTAATGCAATGTACAAAGACATTATTATGCTTGCAACTTATAATAAACCACATGGTTACCTCTAATCTTCGGTTTAATTATTTTGTCTAATATGGAAGGAACATAATAACAATATTCAAACACAATTTGTGACCTTGGAACTTGTAACACAAGTATGTACGATTACTTATTAAAAACTCATTAATTAGTGGTTTACGAATTAATTTAGTGCTAAAATTATTGTTGTGCTCATGGTAAAGATTCCGCGTGGATGAAATAACACTCATCTTCCAAGATTTTACACATTTGTTAATACTATTTCTTTGCCCCACTTCTCCTCAATAGTTGGAACAATTCAATATAATATTTCGCCTAATAAGGGTCAATATGACAATATACCACAATCAAAACGATGAAAGTTGCTCCGTACTAAATAACTTGAACTAATTAGCTAAAATAATCTTGTTTTTAGGTGGGAACTTGCGTCCAAAAAATATATTAGGTGAAAAATGATCAGTCAATATGATCGAGCCAAGAGGAAAAAAAAAAGGGAAAATTTGTTATTGTTTATGAAATTTAATACTACGTATAAACAATCTTGCAGGTAATATATTAAATTATCAATTTTATTTATAACAAAAATATTAAATTGTCAACTAAAAGAATTTATTAAATTTCGTACATAATACACACATATCTTCATGCCTTATCTATCATACATCTGAGTGTATATACGTTCAAAAAAGCGTGTAAAATAATTACGTCATAACTAAATGTCAAACGAGTGGTATATCTTATACTCTCGACACACATATTTGCACTAATAAAATCTGTAAAAGATAGTACCTTAAATAATAATATGAAAATTTTCAAATTTGGTGAATAGAAGTCAAATTATAGCTAAATTAGTGATAGGACTTTAACCAACAAATTGACACAAACGAGGACACTAATGCATTGATTTCCACTCCCCTCATTCATTCCTTTCTTATCCTCTCCCACCGTTAATAGTCTTTGATAACATACCAATTGCCAATTTATAAAGAATAAGAATATAAGATCCTCTTTACTCGTAAATGCTAATTGAGACCTATGTACTGGATATTCTATCCTTTTCTCTATTGAAGAGGTCAATTTTGTCACACTCAATGTCGGCCAACTTGGTCACTTTTATTTCCTTTCATTTCAACACGTACATTGTATATTTTTAACATGGCTAGCTATATTGCTTGCACTTGCTCTTTGGCTAGCCATTAATCATCATGCAACTGTATATGCAAGTACACAAATGTCTTTAGAATGGATGTACCATTGTCGGGGTTCGGGAAGGCTCGGTTATATGTTGTGTTTAACCCATAACTCGACATAACTAGTAGAGAGATTGTTTCCTAAAGACCTTTGCCTTTCATAATCGACTTTATTGGCCCGTTGCAGTAATATCATTATAGTTCCCCAATATCATTTTTTTTTTTGTTTTTGTTTCATGTATGTATGTAACGAGTCAAACTAGATGCGAGTATCATGTAAAAGACTTCTTATGCCGTTACTTTTTCTTAATCTACCTTGTTAAATGTTTATGCTCTTTCTTACTTCCACGATTCCACCCGGTATCTATCTAGATGGTCACAACACCATTGTAAACGTTAGGGCAAGCATCTACAAATTAAAAGCTTTGCGAAAATTTTATAACCTAGCATTTCCAAACTTCCGATGAAAGAAAATATGTACCATTGAACTCCAAAACCATGTAACTCTTGACTAGATTCTACTGTATCATCTATTCAACTAAAAAGAAAAAAGAAAAAAGAAAATTTATCAAAACTGAGAAGTTTTGTGGTCAGTTAAACAGCTTTACAAACTGACCACGCTTGCAAGACTGGTAAATGAGGCTCTGTATCTGTGAGTCTGACTAGCACAAATTTTGGCTAATAACATACCATACTTACCTTCCCATATCTCCAAATTCATGTACTCGGCTGAGCACAGCCGCACAGGACATGACGACGATGAAGCCAGTCAAATCCAGTGAAAACGGATGGCTGCAACATTAGAAGATAGCCACATTATGCTCTCATACCAGAATTTTGGAAGACTAATCCAAGTCAATGACCTGCTTATTTTGGAAGCATTTCAGGGGCTCTGATCCTAAGACCTTCACTGCCTTGTACCCAAATGCTTCACTAACGGAGCCAAATACAGTTTCGTCATCATCACTGTCAATTTCTTTTGGAGTCACTCGATTCTGATAACTCCTGCGTTTGATAAGAAAGACATTAAAGTAGTAGCTAACTAAGTCCATTCTTGTTTTCCTAGGGAAAAATGATTTTCCCAAAAATGGATTGTTCGATCTGATGATTTGCTTAAACCTCTTTTCTTCTTCGGCTGACCAAGAAAGAGAAACCTCCTCACCCATACGGTCGAACTTCCAATGATAGAAAGCCAAACCCAGCTCACGCCTTAATTTCATCCTGTTTTCTGCAATGTGAAATCTGTAGCATTCTACCGAACCAGGAAAGAAGCAGTTGCATGACTCTAGTCTTCCCTTGCCCACAAGTTTGATTCCACAACTATAATTCACTTCTTGCATTTCCGGAGTCCAGATTTGAGTGCCGAGCCATTTTGAATCACTCTCAGAAGTAATACCAGTCCAAATAGGAACCTCAGCTTGAAATTGCGGCCCAACTAAGACATACTTCTCGACAGGGTAATCCTCAAAAGTTGGAATGACTACTCTTTTTGTTTCTGAAATGTTGGCAATTTCAAGTTCTTGTTTCTGTAATCCGGTCTCGATTTGATACTCTGAAGGATTATCGAACTTACACTTTTCAACGGAGAATGACTTGCAACATTGACAAGGAGGAGTATTCGTTAAAGACAGAAGCCTTTTGCTGCATCTGAGTCCTTCAGCAGAATCAGAGATAATATCGTCTTCATACATGGAGGGATGCATCTTATGTTTCTTCTGCATTTATTGAAACATTCAGAAAATTGATTATATTGGCTTAAGAGAGCCAAGGCAAGTAATCATTCACCACCATCATTAAAGAAAATGAAATATACAGCCCAAAATTACAAATTACACAGATTAACACGTGATTTTGTCATACATCTACTTAGTATTATTAAATCTCATGGGACATGCTAACGCGTCACCCTTCTTTCAAAATAATTTGGTGCCACATGTGCGTATGTGTCATCCTATGTGTCATCACCCTCCTCTCACCTTGAATTGTAGTACTCCGTAATATTTAGTCTCTTTGCAAAACTCTTCATTGGCGATACTTTAATTCTCTTCGTATAATGTACTTGAAAAACTCTTCATATGTATAACCTCCCAATATAAATTTAATCTAGAAAATTAAACAATAATCTACATGAGCTTGTTTGGCATCGTTTTTTGTTTTTAGTTTTCTGTTTTTTTGAAAATCAAAAACCAAAAACAGGAAATAAGAAAAATGTTTTTCTACTTTTCAATTAAATTATCATGATTTTAATAAGTTTCACTAATTTTTTATTCATTATATGCAATATATCATATAATTTTGAAAAACAAAAAACCAAAAAACAGAAAATCACAACAATGCCAAACAAACCCCTTTGATAGAAATTAATGACACTAATGGTTATAAATGGCAGGATTTATTAACCATAAATTCACACGTGTTATTTTTTTTGTCTTTAGTATATAGTTATACATTTGATATATCTTATATATATTTATGCAAGATAATATAATTATTATATTTTCATTCACTTATTAATATTGTTCAACATTACCCTTTAAAATTAATTTAGATCAAACTTATACTTTCATGATGACCTGGGCATCCCCGGCCAATAACTAGTTTTTAAATTAATATTCCCCGTGTATCTTTTCAATGCATCAGTCTACTTTTGGGGGTTTTTTTTCTTTAAAATGCATCACTTTTATATTTGGTAACTTTCATCTACTCACCCACATACACAATATAATATTGAAGCAAATTAACTCTCCTATAACTCCGCGTAAATGTAAATGCAAGTGATGTATTATTAAAAATAAAAACAACAGAGGGAGTATCAATATAGGAAGTATGTCAACAACTTGTGTACAACCCTTCATTACCCTTACTAATAATGGTTACTTTATCTCTTTAAATTAAAATATTCCACTAGAACACCTTCATCAAACTTGGACAACTACTGGTTGGCAACTTACATCTACTCAAAAAGTTACCCACTACTACATCTAATTATGCTGAACACACACAAATTGCTAGCCTTTTATCTATACTCCATGCTATATTAAAACTTTTTGGAGGGGAATTTTCCCTTCTAAACCCACCAAGCCTTAATTTTTTTAATGAATAAATGTTAGACGTTTAGTGTATCTTTTATAAATAAACTAATACTTCTTCACAAACATTTATGGCAACACTATATCTTATGAACAAAAAAGGATATTTTTAACTCCCTCCATTTCATATTGATAGTTACGTTTGCCTCTTTTGGCGTTTTCTTTGTTTGTTACTCCCTCCATTTCCGAAAGAGGGTTACGTTTGCCATATTTGGCGTTCCCTTTTAATGGTTACGTTTCAATTAATTCCTAGATTAAAATAATTATGTTTTTATACATTCCCTTCATACCTACATATTTTCCATGCTACTATTCCCATTTATTAAAATATTTGCATACTCCCATTGCAACTATTTCTATCTACAAAAATATTTACACTCCCAATAAAAAAAATTCCTATTTTCAAATTCAGTTAATTTTAAAATTGTTTTACACTATCTTATTTTCCTTAATAATCGTATTAATCATCTAACGTAACCTTCTTTGGAGAATAGGGAGAGTACATGTCAAAACTTTCCCAAAATAATATTACTTCTTTACAAATTTACCCTCATATATACATACTCCCAGAGCAACTATTCTCATTTTACCCTTAAAATATTCCTAAAAATCCCTCCACTTGCATTATTATGTTCATTGTATTCCACCCCCTTTATTGCAATTCCCCCACCATTATTAACCCCTAAAGTATTCATGGCTTAATACTTGAGATATGTGAATAGTAATCCTTACAATCCACTAAATTTTTTCCCTTAATAACCACGTAAAAACCCAAAACGTAACAATCAATATGATACGGAGGAAGTATTTTTCGTTATTTTTCTTCATCTACTGCATCTCAATATGCTCATTATTACTCCCTCCAATCCTAATGTTCTTTACGTTTTCATTGTGCACGTTTTCTAATGCAATACTTTGATTATAAATTTCTTAAGTTGTATAATAGTAAAAAAAAAATATATATATATATATATATATAACAATTGAAATTAGCAAACTACTATTTGAAATAAATCAAATAATACCCAACATGACTATATATGAGTAATTTGGAAGTTTCTTCAAACTCATAAATAGTGCCAAGATTTACATTAGGAAGAATAAAATGAAATTAAGGGAGTATTTTTTTATCTTACAAAATACAAAATATATTGTATTATACGAAGTACCTATTTGGATTTTAAAGAAAATACGAAAACAAAAAGTGAGTAAAACTTAGGAAAGCGAAGAAAAGATTAACTTATCATCTCTTATATTTACAACTTTAATTCCCCAACAAACCCTACTTAAACAATATATTGCTCAAATCAACTGAACTTCCCATAACTTTATGTAGATAGAAGTGGTTCAATTATGAAAACAAAAATGAAGGGAGAAACAATAACATGTTAAAAAGCTATGGTCTAATCTTGTACTTATTATTTATGAAATAAACATATATTTGCCTAAATAAATTAAATTGAACATGACCCTAGTTGTTACTTTTGTTACTAGACTAGACTAGACTAGACCTAATTATTGGGTGGGTCGGGTTAGGGTCAGTGCGGGTCACATCAGGGTCGTTGTGGGTCAAATCAAAGAGGGTCACATTTTATAGGGCCAAATCAGGTCACTTGTTATAGCGGGTCGATAATGGGCAGGCCAACAAACTATCAATTAAAATAAATATTGGACTAGGCCATAATTAAGTACATATGAATACAAAAATATGAATGTAATTTTTTTAACATTATCTATTTTTTTTTATGTATTAAATTGGAAAAACATTTTAGCCCTCTATTGACCCTATCCAATAAGGGCTCTGTCCTGTCCATTAAAGGCCAATCTTGGCCATATTGGCCCTGACCCTATTATCATTACCCTATCCAATAACCATGTCTATTGTTACCACTAATAAGTTTCATATAATACCACCTTCAACTTTTTGTTTTTTGTGTTTGGTATTTGTTTTTTAAAATCTCTTTTATTTAAGTGAAGGAGGAAAGACGAGTCCAAAATACCCTTTTCACTTTAATTAATTATTTATTTACAAATAATTGAAAATAGATTTAGACTTAAAAGAAAAAAAAAGTATAATAATTGATAGACCTTCACAAAATAAATAAAGATTCAACAATCGACAATTAATTGACTTACTTAGAACAAGAGTCTAGACAATTTTAGAAATACAATGTTGATAAGGTTGTTCATTGGTCTTGAATTGACCAGAACAAAGACCGGAAATTCAAAATATAAGAACCGAAAACCGAATTGGTTTTGCTAAGACGGACCAAGACTGGACCCACACGAGGCGGTTTAGACTGGTTTAAGAACTTTTCCTATATTTTAAATATTTTTATAACATTATGAAAAAAAATTTAAGGAAAATAATTGTTTAATGCCTATTTTGAACGTTTAACATAAAAATAACTCATAGTATAATATTATTTCTAGCATATTGAAGGTAAAAAATTAAACATTATAGAAGATTTATTCATAATGTTAAACAAATAAATTGGTCTATCCAAGACTGGTTTTAAGGGGTTTTGGACCAGACCAAACCAAAAACCGAGTTAAATTTCTCAACCCAAAGATCGGATCGGTTCTCTCCGGTCTGGTCCAATTGTTAGATTCAAACCGATTTTTTAACACCCTTCAACGTTATCAAACTAGAATAGACAATCAAATTTTAAAAATTTGATTATATATCCCATGTTCATTTCATATGAATATTGTGTTTTTTTTAAAAAAAAATCTTTATAAGATCAAACTTGTTAACATAGAATTTGAATAAGCATCGCATGCATAAACACTAATTCCCATTATTAAAAGTCATTTTAGATATTGACCGACACTAAGGTTTAAAAATATTGTGTAAGTGGGGTTTGTCGGGGAATTAAAAATCATAGAATAAAGACAGGTAGGTGAAAAGAAAGATATAATAAAAATAAGAAAACATTTTTTTTTTAAAAAGGAAGTGGTGCACTTAAAAAAAACGACCGCAAACAAAAAGTAATGCACCTAAAAAAAAAAAAAATAAATAAAAAAAAAACAGAGGAGTAGTATACAGTCTAAAATTTCCAATTTTAATATTTTACCATCCTCTCATCCCTTTGTACTATCTAATACAATAATTAAGAAAGTTATTTCAATATATTAACATTATTTTTCAATTTAAAAGAAATAATCCATGACATATGGGATACCAAAGAGTTTAGTATCTAACATTGGACCACTAATTCTCACATTGAAACCTAAATCCCTTAAAATGGATGGCTTGTTCAGGAGAGATTATAACAAACGGCAAATAAGCTATGTTCCTTAAGATCCTTTGTGAGCCTAAAAGGCTAGAACAAGATAAGTTAAGAAGACTCATATTGGACCTCCAAGCCTTCCAGAGAAAAGGAAAAGTGGGCATACTTTAACAAACTTTTAGCAAAAAAAGATCAGGCCTCTAATAGTATATAATAGCACCAAATTCCAAGTAAACAGCTAAATGCAGGCTGCAGCCAGAAAATGACCATAACAAGCTCTATGTCACTTCTTAAGTCTGCTAATGAAACAATAAGAAGTCACATCTTGTATGCATTGATAGAGTCCCTGAAGGATAAAAGGGTTTAAGAAATGTTGCCACAAGAGAAACCAAGAGTAACAATGTGCTATCTACCTCAATAACGCTTTCCTTCTTAGTTCCCTTTAAATCTCATATGTTCTTCTTTTACACTGTGACTACTAAATCCATTCCTTCATATCTAATGCCTTCTATCCATCTTACAGGTATTGTTAAAGCCTCTTAAACATTATATATCTGTTATTTCTTACAGATGCTCAATAATGTTTATCCTTTTCTACAGTAAAGTATGAACAGCACATCTCAAACCAGATGGATTTCTTTTCAATATCCCTACCCACGATGCCCTCTTACTTCCATTTCTGTATCTGCTTCAGTCAATGCTCCCACATATATGGATTTTTTTTTGTGTTTTCTAACAATTAATATAATTATCCTCCACCAAGAAAGGTAGTCCAGTATATCCCACAAAATCATCATTACCAAAACTGCGAGAATTGAATTTCCACTTCCAGTTCCGTATAGAGTATTCAAATTTTCTAAAGCTCATCTGAACAAAGATCTTTCACACTCTCTTTGCCTATCTCATGCAAATCATCCGAGACACTGCAATCTAAAATACTCCCTCCGTCCCATAATATAATTCCTGTTTTCCTATTTTGGAGACCCAAAATGTTGTTCTTGTTTCTATTTTGTGGATAGTATGTGAAGACCATTATACCCTCATTTTTTTAACTTTATTCATTGTACTTCCTAAATTACTCTTGAATTTTCCACTTTCTCTCTCTAACTTTTGTCAAAAATTGTACTTTTCACCTTTTTTAGGTACTTCATTCACTTTCTCCTCTTTAACTTTCATCTATAATTGTACTTTTCACCTTTTTTTTATGTACTTCATCCACTTTTGCCTCCCATTTCTTAAATACCGTGAAAAAATACAAACAAGAACCATATATTGGGACGGAGGGAGTAGCAATTACCAAACAACAAAGACTTGGAATTCAGAAATGACTCTTCATTGAATTTAGTAATTAAGGACAATTGGATATTAACTATCTGCTTCTTTAGCATACTCATTGACAGCGTCACAGCGTCAAGAGGGGGAGGGGAGAAAGCTGCCTATATCTCCAAAACCTTGATCCAACAAAAGTACTAAGATATGCCCCTGGCTCAGAGCCTCATCGTAAGTTATAACACCAAGTAGCCCTTTCTTTTCTCATCCCATTTACCAAATTGTTCATAGGGTATGTTCTATGTATTTAGACCTATTCTACAACATTTAGCACCTAAGCACATCAGCTATAGGGGTACAAACAAACTAATACACTAGCGAACTACTTGCAAAAAGTTCAGTCAAAACTCGTTATTTAAGTAAATAAACAAGCTCAGACATATTTTTTTAAATCATTACAAATAAGCCAAGCACGAACAACATCATGTTCAACTCATTAATATTCGTCAATAACTTGCTTAAGTTTGTTTGTAAGCTTGTTCATGTTCCGTAAAACTAAGTTTATAGCTTGTTCTAGCTCGAAAAAATATCTTACATTTTAAAATTACTTCAGTATTTATGCATATCTTTTAAAAATATAAATTTTCGTTACACATGAAAATTTGGCAAATTTTTTGTATATAGAAACATTGAAATACATGTGGTTATTAGACATTCCAAAATAAATTTTTAAAGGTACTTAAACCTAATTAATTTAATCAAACTTAATATGCTCAAGCTCAAACTTAAATGCAAACGAGCATGTTCATGAACAATGTTTGAACAAACCAAATTATAAAAAGTCGAGCTTGAGCTATCATTCCAAATCTCATTCAATCTTGACTAAGCTCGAAAACTAATAATCTTCATCAAGTTTAGCTCGAACAAACTAAAATCAACTCAACTTGACTCGTATCTAGTTGTAACCTGCATGCTATATGCCTATATAATCAATCCCTTTCAGTATCACCCTTCGTGGTGGCAAAAAATTTCTATAAAATCATTCACTGAGATAGAGACATTTCAAGAAAGAGACCAATCTATGACGTAACAATCATGTCAAAATTCTACCTGTTTGACCGCTTTCTCAAGATTCTCTTTTAAAGCCTCCCAAAAATTTTCACAAAAAATTGATTAAGCATCATTCCAATTTTGATCAAATAAAAAATAATTTAGATACAAATTACACGATGCTATTAATAAAGTGATATAGTTGCCTCTTCCCTCTTCGGCAACTCATTCAAACTTACCCTAACTATAATCCCTTTGATCTTTCCATTATGATATAAGTACATGACTAATCAGATGCGTGATGTTAAACCATTCAAGTGAGAAAGCATCAACCAACTTTAGTGACTCCCTGATATGATACTAAATATTCTGCCTCTTTGAAGAAACTCTCAAATCTTTTTACATTTCAACTCCATAAATGTATGATATCATTAGAAACTACTTATACTAGAACTGTTATTACACATGGAAACCATTTCTCATTTTTTCATGTTGATGAGATCAACTATCTTAAAAGTCTGCTTATCAAAACTCAAAAGTGGTAGTTTATGTCTCAAAAGAACAACAAACTAGATGGAAAATGGTCATATATTCAAACAAATAAGTCCAAGATTCTGTTAACATAAATACCTATCGAGTATACACCTAAGTTTCTTGATCAACGCATATCAGTGTATCACCCATCCGTCATAGGTGGGTAACATTATCTTCAACATAATCATTGTACATTAATTCTTTTGATAATCTAAAAGTTATATTAAATGCGTCAACCAAAACTATGACATAGATAGATCTAGCTTCAACAAATTTTTTAATCATATAATTTGACCATCTAAAAAATTAAATTATATGGAGAAGGGGCTAGTTATACCTGATGAAAACGAGATTGCTGATCATTTGAATCAGTATATCTTTTTCGCAGTCTTGCTTCCCGTACCATAAGTGCTATTGACCAGAAATCCTTGTGACTACTTTCCTTCCATCTCGAGCTTCCTGATATAACTCCTATGGACGGATGACAAGGGTTTTTTGCAACTTTGATCATCCAGCCCAGCGTTCCTCCAAACATGTCACGTTTCCTCTTGTGAGAAGTATTATCTTCATCAATGACATCTTCCTTCGCTTTTCCAATAAACTCCTTATTATTACATGATCCATCCCCATCATCAACAGCAAGCTTAACCACAACGTTATGCACTTCGGTTCCCTCTTCAGCATTTGGCAAATGCAAAGTTTCCTTCGCAGTGACTTTAACATTCTTGCAAATCTTATCATATCCAATGCCATTATTATCCATAGTAAACTCATTCCCATCTGTTGAAAAATTCCTTAACCTTTTCTCCAATTCTAATGACAATAACCCTAAACTACCTCCACACTCATAACTCCCATTTGCTGAAACCTTTTCTCTAGTAATTCTATTTAACCATTGGTCCAATTCATCCAAATACTTGTAATAAATCAACTTAAGGGATCCACACATTGTACATTCAAACCCAAACTTTTCAGCAATTAAGCCCCACAAATTATCCTCCGAAACCGAATGATAACCGCCTCTATCTCTCACTAAACAGAACAGCTTGAATAAATCCACAGTTCGACCGTCCCCCAACAATGCCGGAATCGGCCTACTCCCATTGGCATACACACCCCTTGACAAAACCATTAGAACTTGATCAAATAAACTGCGCAAATTGTCATCACAATCACCCCATTTAACATCATCATCACTCTTAGATAACAAACACCCATTAATCAGCTCACTACTCTCACTATTCTCAGCGCAATTCACCTCAACCCGGTGATCGAAAATCGACCATTCGGCCATGAATTTCCCCTCTTTTCCTATCTCTATTCCTCCCAAATCAATTAAGCCTATAACAAATGCTGAAATGGGAATTGAACAGAGCAAAAAGATTTGATCTTTACTAAAAAAACTCCATCAAAATCACTCTGTTTCTCTAATTTTAGGTTCAATGACTGATAACAGAGCAAACCCACAACATTTTTAATCAAATTAATTGAAATGGGCATCAAAGATTATAGCTTTTTAAGTCAATTGATTACCTCAATGTATTCTTCGGACATGCAAACAAACACCCATTTCTTCTGTTCCCAGTTGAGTCCACCTGAACTAAATTGAGCGCTGGAAATGTTAAAAATAAAAATAAAAATAAAAAGGAAAAAAAAAAAGTTTATGAGAAAAATGAAAAGAATAGGAAGGTGGGCGTCTGAGTTTTAGGAAGCTAAGATTAGAACAAATGGGGGATTTGGAAATGTATGAAAGCAATCATCAAGAAATTAGCTGGAAATGAAATTTTAATTAAAGGAGAAAATAGAATAATTAAGGAGAAAAATGAATATATAGAATTTGTAGTTTGTTTTGGGTCAATATGAATATAGATGATGGTGCGAATTAAGGGTTCAAAGGGAATTTTTTAGGAGAGACAAGATGGGCTTGAAAAAAACCCTAAATAATTTTGATTTTCGAACTTTGAGAAATTTGGTTTTGTGTTTTATAAAGACAAAGAGAGATGGAGTATAAGATATTTTTGGGATCGTGGATTATTATATGGAATTATGTTTTTGACTATGAGGATTTGGTGGGATGAATGAAATAACAAAAATTATCAACATTAATTTTAAGATTGGATCAATTTTATAATTGTTTTAAAGTTTGATAAACTCGTAATAATCCGGATTAAGCAAACCTTGTATAAAATAGATCAGATCGGATAATATAAATACACTATAATGATGGTTGAAGGCTGCCCTAGTTTATTACCTTGTTGGACAATATATATAAATCAAATGGTAAAATTGTAAATAAACAACAAAAATGTCATATCAACTCGGCATTTTTGTATCAATAAGTGCGAGCCCATATAAAATGAAACTATGTTGATTTGTTTACATTTCTGCCATTTGATTTGCATTTTTTGTTTTATCAAGCTGATAAATTTATATTTTTCACTAATTTTAGTCATCTCAAGCCTTTAAATATCACCTCTTAACAATGCTTAATTTTGTGTGAATTGGCATGAGAAATATTCTTCGTATAAGTTATGGAGGTAATTATGCTATTTTAGGATGATATTGGTCAGTATGGTTAGACTGAATCTATTGTATGTGATTTTTTCAAGGCTTTCGAACTTAAGCCGCTTATGTTGAAGTTAACCCCAAGTTATTGTCGACTTGCTTTAAAGCAAAATATTTGAGAATATTTTTCTTAATACAGAGTGTTTAGTTGAGAAATGTTAGGGACAACACAAAATAAAGGCTTGAATAGTCTGAGCCTCTGATGGTAGTGTTCGCTTGATATGGAGTTAGAAAGTAGAGTTCGACACCAAAAGGCTAAATTCGAAGGGAAAAAACTTTATAGAAAATCAATTTCAAAATGTAATCATCAATTAACTATTTTCTAGCACCGATATAATCATGTAAATGAAATTTGATCTTAAATCTTGGGTTTCATCTTCCAAGACTCTACCCACCGAAAATAGTTGACCGCTAGCCAAGCCCATAGAATTTGTATTTGATGTTCTTATACTTCCTGCATTCTTTTAATATTGTAGCATGAAGAAGAATTACGCTTCCTAAAATACAATTTAAACCTTATATATTTTTCATTACATAGATGTAGTAACTATAAAAGTTGATAGTGTAAATTTTTTATCTATAAGAATCTGATAAGACCACATGATATACAAAATTGAAATTTGTGGCTAGAGCAAAGTGTGTAAATAGTGTCAAAATTATAAACATTACAAAAATAAAATAGCAGAGAAAATACATATGAAAGTGATTAATATGGATTTGAATCTCATAGATCATTGGAATAGGATGGTAAAACTCCTACAATGTGTAACTATAGGCTAATAGGCCAAGTTTTTCTATAAAGAAAAAAGAAAGAGTTAAATAAGCATAAATGTATAAATTTGACCAATTTCATGCTTTATTAGTGATTTTTTATTTTTTTTTTCCTAATGCGGTGAAGTATAAAACGATGTCAAACATATAGGCCTAATTATCTAATTGATGTGACACTTATAAAAAGAGAGAACGTTAGAAGACCCTCCTCACTGTGGTATTGTATAGAGAACACTTAAAGACGGATCTAAAAATTTAAATTGGACCAAACCGGATTTTTTTAAGCATATTCATAAGTTAACTTCTAGATTTCTATGACAAAGAAAAGATTATAAAAGGCAGTATACATGTATAACTTCTAAGCCCAAAAAAAAAATAAAAAAAAAATAAAAAGGATATATATTAAAGAAAAAGAAAAAGGCTGAACATTGAGCAAAAAATTGTATAGCAAGATTTTATTCATTTATTTATTTATTTAAAAAAAAAGGAAACTTAAGAAAAAAAAAATAGGAAAATTGTGGGTTCATTTTTGTAATAATATTAATTAATCTTCAATGGAACAATACAATTTCGTGCATTTCGATTTAAAAAAAATGTAAAAAAATAAAATAAAAATAAAGGTAATTAAATTTGAGGGTTGTTAAATATCGTCCTCAAATTTCCGACTAACGCCCGCAAATGAAATTTATTTTACAAATTTACCCTTAAATAAAATAAAACAATTCTCACTCCCTCACTCCCAAAACCCTCTTCTCACCACCACCACCTTATTCTTTTACCACCCACCACTACCACCACCTCCTCTTTGAACCACCCACACCAACTCCTCTTTTAACCACCCACCACCGCCTCCTTTTTTAACCACATACCACCACGCCCTTTAACCACCCACCACTACTACCACCACACATCCCACCTACCACCACGTCCCACCCTCCACCACATACAAGGGAAGACGTGAAAATGATGAGGAAGGACAAGGGAAAGGTTGTCGTCGAAGGAGTCGCCGAAGACAAGGTGAGTATATTTTTTTTTAATTTTTTTCTGGAATTGGCGGAAATGCCCAAAATTTTCGCAAATTCTGGGCCGAAACGCCTAGAATTTTTGTTCACCCATACGGTTATACAAAAATTCTAGGCGTTTCACCCTAGATCCGTTGAAAAAATTGGGCGTTTCTGCCTTATATTCGTATGATGTTGCTGTTGTTTATAATTCGAAAAAAAAAAATTCGTATGCTGATGTTGTTGTTTATAATTGTTGTTGTTGTTTATAATTGCTGTTGTTGTTGTTTATAATTGATGATGTTGTTTATAATTGTTGTTGTTGTTGTTTATAATAGATCTAATACCTTTCAATATTAGTCATAGAATTATAGAAGGGGAAACTGATTTTATAATATTTTTATAACAAGGCTACGTACGTCATTTTAGGTTATTTTGCGGGCGTTAGTTAGAGATTCGAGGGCGACGTTTAGCGTTCCACTTAAATTTCACTCAACAACACTAGAGTGTGCTGAAGCTCTGGCGGTTAGATATGCCCTGCAGCTTGCAAATAGGCTCGATTATGCCAGAATTTTATTAGAATCTGACGCGTAGAATGTGGTTCAAGCACCGAATGTGGACGATGTTGATGTTTCTCCAACCCATTTTATATTTGATGATATTAGAAAAGATAGATTGCCCTTCGATGAATGTACTTTTGCTCATGTAAATCGCAAGCTTAATACGGTGGCTCATCTTGTAGCTAGATGTGATACCGGTGACAAAGTTGAGTATGTGCGAGTGAGTTCCTTTCCTCAAAGTATCACAACTTTGACGGAATCAGACCTTCTTTAATAAAATGGGCACTTATCTTTGTTTCAAAAAAATTTCAATTTTGTTGCTATATTAAGGTTAATGTTTTTTGTATTAAAAAAAATTAAAAAAAAAAAAAAAAAAAACAGAAATTATTGTTCTTGATAAATTGGATGTATTCCGAAGCATGGGTTCACTTTAGTTATTCATAACTTTTGAGGATAATATTTTTAGAACAAGTCAATTTACAAAAATCATACTAATTAGAATGCATCATAATGATACTTATGACATTGATGAGAATGCCACCAGCCATTATTATTTCTAGGTCAATCATTATCATCAATGAATGAGGACTTTATTTTAATGCCACATAGCCAAATATTCATTACTCTATGTATCAATCACAATAATCCCCTTACATAAATTAGATAACTTATAAATTTGGATTTGAATCGTGTATTTAATCGAACCCAGGTCTCTCACATGAAATTTGAGAAACTTGGCCATCTGAGCCAAGCCTCCTTCTCATTTCGACCAATTAGTTAAATTGTCATAGGCCTCATAGCTAACAATTGTCATCCTACAAAAAAAAAAAAAAAAAAAAAAAAAAAAAAAAAAAAAAAAAACTCAATAGTACTGTAGGAGTGTAGTTTGAATTCGATTTTGTTACTTAGTATTCATCATGAAATCATGGTTAATAAGGTTAATCAAGGTATTCTTTATAAGTTCATTACTCCCTCTGTCCCTATTTTTTTTGTCTCATTTGGCTGTGCACGGTCTCCAAAATACGTCATAAAATGTCTACATCTTTATTTCTGTACACATAAAAATTATAAAAACGTGATATTAATAAAATATACAATAAAACAAATCTAACAAGACCACTCATGACTATTTCATCTTTTATAGATTAACGGTAATTTACAGTCAAAATTTTTAAAGTTTGACCCAAAAAATGGTAATAGGACAAAAATAAAAGGACGAAAAGAGTATAAATCGATTCATTGATGGAAATATATGTAATTTCAAAGGAGAAGATGATATATCTTTGGAAGCAAACCCAAACCAATTTAAGTACATCGTAGTTCTACTTTTGAATAAATTAATTGATACTCCGTACAATTTTATATGGTTTTTCTTTTTTTTCTTTTTTTTTTTTTTGAAAAATACAATTTTATATGGTATTTGTTGGCTATGAAATTGAATTAATATGGGAAAATTTAGAAAAGAAAACGTGACAATTTGAGACGTGGAGAGTATATGTTTATTGACAAAAAAGACGTTTGTTGACAAATGTGACAATGCATCAGACACTCTTGTTGCCAAATGATCACCCAAATCAGGCATAGATTCTGTACTCCATAAATAACCAAGAATCCAATCTAATAAAAATAAGAAATATATTCACATTATGCACGCAAATTCAGCAAAATCAATCAAAAGAAGCACACGGCAGAAAAAGCCAATCTTCAGGTAAGAAAGACTGTAAGAACAGGTTATAAAAATAATTAAAAAAAAAAAAAAAAATCCTAAAACTCTGTTCAATGGACCTATACACGTATGTAAAAAATGACATAGGAAAACGAACATAACGGGAACCAAAAGAACCTGCTTATTCCCGCCAGTATTTCCAGTATAAAAGTAGCATACAGTACAATGCAATCGGTAATGCCGAATGCCCGAATTTAATCCCCCAACTGCATTGTACTGCTTGCTACTGAATGTTAAACCTTTTCCTACTACCATGTTTTGTCACTGAAATGATCGAAGCTCCAACGATTCACGAATCAATAGCAAGGCCAGCACCGAGGAGCTATAATGGAAAATCTAACCTAGAAGACCCACTCCCTCCCCCAACACTCTTTTTGTTTTTGTTTTTTCTTTCCCTTTTTACCTTCTCTGTTTATAATTCTACTAGTTTGACAAACGCCTAGAAATATGATCATCACTCTCATGACATTGAATTATCTAATTACAATCACCCATGTCAGGTGGAAGCTAACTTGCAATTGCGACACAAAACAGATGATTCTACTGACAA